TTTTTTTTTTTAAATGAAACTTTTAAAATAATCTAAATGCATTGCAAACTCTTTTAATGGATGTTTTGCTTGTATATGAGACAATTATATAGATAGCTAAGAAAGTCTAGAGGTGGGAGGTTAGCAAGTTTATTAAGCAATAAATATGTATGCACATTACTTGCCACTGAAGTTGCACATCGCAGAACCTGGAGAATATTAGAACACATTTAAATGTTTAAAGCCTCCTACATTTACATATATTATGGTTTCCCCAGAAATTAGTTGTGTTTATTTTATAATATTTTTTACATTATTTAACAAGGTTAAATTATTAAAGTCACTAAAGACTTTGTAAGTTTTCTTAAAGCCTGCAAAAATCCATCAGCTGGACATACTGCAATTTACTTATCAAGTACTCATTACTTGAGCACAGAGTCTCCCCTCTCTTCCATTTTCTGGGTACAGTTACCCCTAATAAATCTTTGAATGTATGAAACAAGGAGCAACAGAGACAAAGTGTTCTCTTTGGTATTAGCTGATTTTGGTACTGGCTCATATAATAATTATCTTTGTGAATTGCTTCAGAAGTTACTTTATCTCTCTAAGGTCTCAGTTTAGTTTTTTGTTTGTTTGTTTTTTAATTAGAAAAGAAAGAAAACTAGCTCAGAGTTGATTTCCCACTCCCCAAGTCAGAACTGAAGGAATCTTGAGAGTCCTCTTCAAGGGCTGAGTGGGGGACAGTAGACCCTAAGGATGGGGTACTGGTCAGACATCTTCCTTTCAACCAGAATTTTGTCACTTATCTCATATATCACTTCTACCTAAGCTTTACCAAGTTAAAAACAAGCAATCAAAACCCAAAAATGTCTAAACCATTGGTCTAGCGGTTTATGAAATGGGAGAGAAAAATACTAACCACTAACATGCACTGATTGCCACGCACTTGAGAAAGGCACTTTAGGGCTTAGTACACTCTTTTACAATGAGGCCACTGAGGCCCAGAGGTGATAAGTTGCCTGAGGTCACACAGCTAGTGACAGAGCCCAGGGTCTGAGGACACACTGGGGTTTCAGATGTCATGCTCTATTGCTCCCACCTTGAGACCCTGCCTGTTCTGTCCCCCAATAATCCATGATTGGGGAACAACGTAAGGTAAGCTTTCTCTTTTTTCAGGAACGGCTAGGATTCTGCCTAGGGACTACGTGCTCCCCTCTGTGAAGGAATACAGAGTTAAGAAAGGCAGGAATCACAGAACTTATAATCTTTGCTATAAGAATCAGTCCAAAGAAAGATGCCCTTTTATTGTTAAGCATACTCTTGATAAACGTCATATTAAGTCAATTCATGCTCAGTTGATAGCACCTTTAGACTTTGTAGAAATGTGTTGTCCTTGGTTCCTTGGAGACAGGAACTTAAATACAAAAACTTAGGAAAAAGTGGGAAAAGAGATTAGGCTATATTGCTCCCACCTTGAGACCCTGCCTGTTCTGCCCCCAAATAATCCATGATTGGGGAACAAAGAGTCTCCAACAATGCTCCTGATCCCACCACATTCTCATCCCTGAAGAGAGTCAGACTAGACTAGCCTCGATGACCTCCTCTAGGTCCTTCCACCTTTACAACTCAAAGTATTCAGTGAATTATCAGGAAGCCTACAAGATAAAATATCACACTTTTGAGGCCACCCAGTTCATAAGAACACAAAAGTGAGCAGAATTAAAACCTGCTGTCAGGACCAGCATGGACCCAATGGCCTGCAGAAAGGCTGGACCAGAGGAACCTCTCAAAGAAAAGACAGACTGGGTGAGACACCTTATCCTTCTGGATATAATGAGAAGATAGGTGATGTGAGATGTTCTTCCTAAGAACAGCATTTTCTTAGGAAGGCATTGCTTTTCCCCAAATCTCCATAAGCTATAGAGCCCCCTCATTGTAGACCTATAGGAAGGCATTGCTTTTCCCCAAATCTCCATAAGCTATAGAGCCCCCTCATTGTAGACCTATAGCTTACATTTAAAAGCAAAATTAACTCCCATGGTTAATTTTTATTAGAAATAAAGCTTAAATATGCTATAGTTAATGAGGCTATTGTACCAATACCAGGGAATACACATCTTAAATTCTCACTGACCAGCTCAAGGAACAGTCAAACATCAAAGAGTACCTTATGATGTAAATGGAAAATACCACAGGTTAGCCAACAAGCTACCTTAAGGTCGGGAAACACACATCTGCACATTAAAGATTTGCACCAAGATCAAAATACATTTTACAACCAAACTTTCTGTGCTATTAAGTTTGCTACCAGGAGTCACTACAATTAACCTAGTTCAAACTGATTAAAAGGCAGGCTCCTGTAATTCATGTTGTAATGCCTTCATTATAATACGAGATGGGAAAATAATCTGGAGTCCAAAAAGCTATGGCTATGAGAGGAAAATTCTCATTTTAAACTTGCCATGTTATAAAACTCAACATTCAACACTTGATAAAGAACTGAAGACATTATTTTTCTAACAGTATCAAGTAACATGTTGCCTCAGTTATTATTTTTCAGGGAATATAAAATAGTTTTAACCAAAACTCCAGACTCAAATTGTTTTTAAAAGATAATCTGAGTCACAACTTTACTTGAAATACAAGTTCTGTAAAAAAAAAAAAAAAGCATCCGTCAAATAGAAATCACTTGCCATTCAATTGTTTGCCAATTCACCAAGTACACAGCCGGTGATAGAAAACAATTAAGTAAACTCAATGGCTGGCAAAGGAAAGACTTCAGGTGGAAAATATCAGTATTGAGAAAAAGACGTTTGTTTTAGTTCTGCTATAGGAAACAGCTCATGAAGAATTTCATTGTAAGCTTCTCTTCCTAGGGTTTGTTTACTCCACTCTCAACAGTGTGACATTTCTGGTTTTACCACTAGTATATTCCCATTGGAAGACAGGTGATGGCCCTTAATCAGGTACACAGCAACGTTTCTAAGACTCACACTTGGGATATTTGCATGTTCAGTCACACAGCCTTCTACAAATAATAGGCATCATTCACTCACGTTATGTCTCCAACACTACCGTTACAGAATAAATAGCTGACTCTATCAAAGGTTTCCTGGTTGGCAGCTGGTGAGGTAGCTCAAATTATTCATTAAGCATATTTTTCTCTCAAGTGTTTACCAAGCAGACCTCCTACTACTGTAAGGCTTACTAATTCAATTCAAGGAGCCAGAACAAAACCATTCCGTTTAAGAATGACAATGCTATAAAAACCCAGCTCTTAATAAATGTGTGGATGTGGGAAACACCTTAGCAGTTTAGACATAAACATTTCTCACGTGCCCACGAGGGGAGGGGTACTGAGGATGTTGGAAGGGGGAGGATTTTAGTTTACTGAATGCCTCCCCATCCTGTCCACCTGTACAAATCACATTTATAATCACATCCTGTCGATTCCAAAAATCCAAAAGTGATTTTGTCCTCCTTTACACCTCCCCAGCCTTCACAGACAGAACGTCCACTGGGCGTTTATGCAGACAATCCCTCTTACTGCTCAATGAGTTGTCCGCACTCTGTGTGCCAAGCCCAGGTCATAAACTTTTCAAAGGTAATATATGAATCATAGTGTGGGGTTTTCTCCGCCCCCCGCCCCCCAACGGTTCTAGCAGCAAACCATTCTCAAAGGTGCTCAACAAGTATCTGAAAGACCAGTAAACAAGTATTGAGTAGTTGTTGAGCTAGACTCTTCTAACGTGTCCTTGTATTTAGCAAGTAGTCTCCCAGAAGCAACATCGACCTCCCTTCATTTCAATAACTGAAAACTACGTTTCAACCTGGGCACAAAAACATCACCAGACTTCCAAATATTTAGAAAGTGAAGCAACCAAGATACTCTTTATATTTTTAAGATTTAAGACAATAATGCTCTTAAGTTTCGGAAAAGTTCTGCGAACTTGAATGTAAAGCTGGGTCACAGTGAACATATTAGTGTTTGTTCCATGTTTTCACATTAACTTGCCTGTGTTCTAAGAATTAACAGGAGTGCTGGTGTACATTTGGAACAAAGACTAGAATTAGCTCCTGTCAGGCCATGCCTCCTTCTGTTAGGGTAAACAAAGAGTCTTCTGAGGAGATGTTTCATTTTCACTGAATTCGCCCTTACATCAAACTAGAATTAATGAACGAGGCGGCTCTGGAGTGGGTCCTCTTTTCCAGCCTCCCACTAGCCCTTTGCAAAGTTAACGTCACCGCCAGTCCCCCAGCGGAGGCAAAGACTGGAGCCCGCCAGCCCCAGGGCCTCCCGGCTCACGGGTGGACCCCGCGGCTCGGCGCACCCCATTCCCCAGTTACTTACAGGGTCACTTTGGTGGTCACGGTCGACCTGCCCGCGCCGAAGTGGTTCCTGGGCTTGAGGCCTTCAGGATCAGAACCTCCCGCCGGTCTGCCCAACTCTTTGCTTCGGCCTCCTTCTCCCCGGCCGTCGAAGTGATTGGGAAGGGGGCCCCTCTTGTGCTCCGGCTTGATCTCCGGCAGGAGCGAGCTGCTCTTGACCGTCAGCTCGCGCGGGATGACCCGCGCTGCCTCCTCCCCGCTCTCCCCGGCGCCTCCCTTGGCTGCAGGCCCAGGGTCCGGCCCCGGCACCTTCTTGGGTGGGGACTCCTTAGCGGGAATCCGCGGGCTGCTGGCGGGCGGGGTGAGCAAGGCCTCCGGGACGCGGCTCTTGCCCCTCCTCTTGGTAGGGGACGAAGTCGGCGGCGGCTGTTTGCTCCGGTCCGGCTCCGCGCGGAGCTGCCCTTTGGGGCTAGGGCTGGACTTAGGCTCCGGACTCCCGGCGGAGGTAACGCCCCCGTCGGGCGCCGCGCGCGGAGCTTTCGCTGTCTTTTCCGCAGAGGCAGTCTCGGCGACCGCGTTTGAAGCCACCTCGTCGTCGAAAACAGCGTCATCCTTTGCGGTGTGGTCCGGCAGCGACGGGTCTGCCCCCGGGGAGTCGGTGGACTTGTGCGACTTCCTCCGCCTCCCCGACCTGCGGCCGCTCGACCTCTTCTCCATGTCGTCGGAATCGCTACAATCTTCCGCCCCGGGCGCAGTCACCACCGACTCGTCCACCTGCGCTACTTCCGTCTTGCTCAGGTAGATGTCTAAAGTTAATACCGTGGCGGGAGGGGCGCGCTCGCCGGGCCGGGAGTCTCGCCCGCGGGGCCCGGCTGTGCCGTTTGCTCGCGCAGAGCCCGCCCAGTTCTCTACTCCCGGAGCCCCAGGGTCACCTGGCAGAACAGATGCGTCCTCTGGGGCCTGGCCGCACGCGTCTGGAGGCTCCACCGAGCCCGCTCCTGCACCCAAGTGAGGGGCTCCGTCTGCAGCCTCGCCCAGTCCTCCCACCGGCCGCTCTTGGGCGGGCGATCCGGGCACGCCCCCGGCCCCCTGGGCTGGCTCCCGTTCTTCACCCGCGCCCGGCGAGGCGTCCTCCCCCGGACTGAGGGCTGGCCTCACTGCGTTCTCTTGCCCGGAGGAATTCTCCAGTGAGGAATGCAGCTGCTTGGCAGCGGTGGTGGCATCTGGGAAAGTCTCTCCCTCCGCCTCAAGAGGTTCTAATTGGGGTGAATCACTTTCATGGCACTGTTGTACCGCCGCCGCTGCAGGGCTCTTAGCGCCGGGTGGCAGCTGGACATCAGGGAGGGCTGCCTGGAAGCAGCTCTCCGAGTGCTGGCCCTCGAGTTCCTCGCACTCCTGGGGCTGCTTCGGGGGGGCGCTTTCCTCGCACGTGTCTGTTTGCTTTGGTGAGCTGCCCTGAGATTTATTCTTGTTCTCTCTTTCAGGGAGTTTGGACGAGGTTACGTCTTTGGGAGAGGCTGCTTTAGCATTTGAGCTGATGGGGTTCTCCCTGGCATTCCTTCTCCTTCCTGCCGTAAACAGATTGCCGAGTTTCCCCAAAACTGGTTTCCTTCTGTTCTCTTCTGGAGGTTGTGCTCTGGACTGGAAAAAAAAAATCAAGAAAATGTGGTATTTAGTAGTATGTACAATACAGAAATACAAACCAAAATAAAAGCAAGGTTTCTCATTGAAAATGAGCGTTCGTGTTTTTGTTACACTCATTCCAGCAAAATAAACGGATTTTACTTTCTTTTTTTCCATCTCAATTGTAATCCCCGCGGGTTTCCCATCACCAAGGTTTTTACTTTCTTTAACATCTATGTTTGGAGGAATTCGATTACTGCCTTTACAATTATCGAGAAAACAGTCGGAAGGTTCAAATAAACAATCCCCAAGCCTCTGGGTCCTGCTTTTGGTTATCTCCTTCCCTCAATAAAGATGCAATTTCAAAGCAGCCACACACAGAACTATAGGACAGCAGTGAACCAAGTATTCTGAGCGGCATTTTTTCCCCTGAAATGTGGCTCTTACTTTTTGTAAGGGGGAAAGTGGGCGAGGAAACGCAGCATCCCCCAGAACCTGAGTTCAAAAGAATTGCAAACAAAAACACTTAAGAGGCTACGCACCTGGGCCCCGCCCTTAAGTCTAAGCGGAGGTGCGCGGCGGGCGAGCCTGCTTTCCGCCAATGGGAGAGGCTCGTGGATATTCAAACGCCCACGGGTCCCCACCCCGCGGAGCGCGTCGAGCCCGCGCGGAGCACTGGGGTTTTTCCCGCTACTAGTGCCCAGGAATGTCAATACCTGCGTAGTCGGCCGGAGAGCGGACGTGGTGGTCGCCGCCCTCGCGACCTCTCTAAGGGTCTGGGAGGAATTCGGCCGCCCTCGCGACCTCTGCCCGGAGCCCAGTCTTTCGCCACGCCGCCGAGCGCCCGCGCGCACGAGCCGGAGCCCCAGGTGCCTCCTCGCCCACCAGAGGGTGCCCGGGCCGCCTGCGATCAGCCGCACGGGCTCAGAGAAAAAGAAAAAACCTGTGCTAACAACGCCCAGAGCCAAACGGTAGCACCTGGTGCCAAAGCCGGAAGCTGCAGGGCGCTGGGAGCTATTGATAAAAGAAACGCTGCAGCGCGCAGGGCTCAGCTCTGCCAGGGAGGGAGTAGGAGAGCGGCCGCGGGCGGGGCTGGAAGTGGGGAGGCACCTCGAGGGAAGGGAGGGGGTGTGGCGCTGGGCCCCAGTCTGGGCTCCCTGCGGTGGGAAGCGTTTTCCGGTAGTGACTTCGTCGACGCTAAGCCCACCTTGTGTCTGCACTAACTGAAATGACTTTCTACTGAAACCCCGGGGAGCTAGCCTGAGTTCCACCACTCCTGCCAGGTGATCCTTCGGGATTTTTGTAACATTGACTGTTTACTGGAAGATTCCAGTCACCATATTTCATGAGTTATCTGCAGCCAGTAGACTTTGGCAATGATGGGAAACAGGACAGATAATGAGAGAGCCTGGAAGTAGCGTCAATTAGCATTTATTCAAACAGTGCTGACACTTGCAGATGTAATCCTGCGCCCAGTTTACTGAGGAAGAGACAACACTTGCATTGGAGCAGGGACAGTAAAGTCTGTTTCAAATCCTAGTTCATAGTTTCCAACCTGTGCTCCTTTGACTCAGCTCCAAAGACCCATTTTAGACTTGGAGGTGCAGAGGTCACCCCAGAGCTGAAGTCAGCTCCAGTAGATTCAGGCTGCATCCCACCTCTTGCCCCTAAGCGTCTCTTGAGGATTTGCTCCAGAGTTTGATTTACTAACAACTCCCGAGGTAATTCTCCTGGGTGGAGAAGCACCTGGTGGAAGCCTTGGCAGGAGATAGCTGCTGCATGAGGAGCTAGATTAATGTGGCAGACACGGACAGCTTTTGTGCCACAATTTGATCAGATTTTGATTAATTCAGTTCTTCAAAGGTTATATAAATAATATTGAATGTAAATACACAGATAATTTTAAAATGCATTAAAATATTCCAACTTCTTAAGGAATGTATCTGGAATCTGACTAGGTCAAAGGTACTACACGATTTTTAGGCATAATAACTCATGCTTATTGAGCCCACCTTATGCAAGAGACAGATTCTATCTAATCCTCCTAACAGCCCTTAAGGTAGATAGCCTTTTTATGCCCATTTACTAAGGTTGCTTATCCCTACCCAAGGTTGTACAGCCAGTAAATTCTTTGTAATGCTGGAGATAAAGCTGTTTCTGTGCCTGGACAAGCCTTCAAACATATCCTGAAGAAACAGCCCAGAAAATAGGTTTGTTTGAATGTATTGGCTCAATTCCATTCCATGTCAAAACACTAAGTATATAGTTTTGTTCTGCCAATGATGTTGCAATCCGTTTTTCCCATGCCATTGAAAGATGCCTGATCAGCATCCTCTTTGCTCTGTATGGATCTTCTGTAACTTTTAGCTATAACTGCTTCTTTTGAAACTGATTGTTCTTTGTAACTTGGCCCCATTAGCCACTTGACTCCCATTCTCACAAAGAGGCAACCAGACTGCGTGGCTTGTTGAATTTTCTAGAATTCCAGAGTTCAGTTTGTTTATGCATGGATGTTCGTAACAACTTCATAATCGTCAAAATTTGGAAACAAATTTTGAATGGTTAAATTATGGCACACCCAAAAAAAGAATACTATGCAACAATGAAAAAGGGCCAGCCTTCTCTAATGTGACAACATGGAATGAGTGACAAAAACAGTATGCTAAATGGAAGAAATGAAACTCAAAAGGTAATATACTGTATAGGTCCACTTATAAGAGAATGCAAATCTAATCTAATCACAGAAAGTCAATCAGTGTTTGCCTGAGAGCAGGGGGTTTAGGTGCAACTGAAATGAGGCACAAAGGAACTATAGAGATAATGGTAATGTTCTATATCTTGAATATGCTGATAGTTATGCATGTATACATATATTTAAACTACTCAAACCACACTTAAAATGGTACTCTATATATGTGTGTGTGTAGAAATATATGTATATATATATTTATATATCTTAATAAAATTTATTTTAGAATAAATCTTTTCCTTAGGAGTCCAGCTGGATTAGGTGCACATTTCATAATTCTTAGTAAACTTCCTCAAGTGATTTCCAAGATAGGGTTCTCCCTGTGGGCCAAGTTCCTATGCATCTCCAGCAACACAGTTCTGTGCAAGATTCTCTAAGCAGGGTTCAGAGTACTCTGCCCCTCCTTCACATCTTTTGGGGGAACCCTACTCCTTAAAACAGCACACATTTCCTTTTCAACCAGGAATAATTTCCATATAAGTACGCGCGCTAACTGATTGCACCCCTGGAGCTCCGGCTCAGCCAGGAATAATTTCCTTCCAGGATTCATAGAGGAAGAATGAGAATGGCAGATGCCGGGTAGAAAACTAGATGGCCTTGCAGTTGTCCGAGAGGACCAATAGCCACCTACTTGTAGGGAAGTCCTAACCTGAAGATGAAGGGGGCCACAAGCACAATACCAACTCCAAAATCTATTGGGATTTTTTTTGCAGAGGCCATGAGAACACTTCAGTTTCTCCTGCTCCCCCAGGCTTTCCTCTGGGCAAGGGCAGGACTCTCAGTATTGTCAGTTAGTCTCCTGCCACAGCAGAGCCATGCAATCCCAGGACCCCCTTTGTAGTTAGCTCTTTACCATTACTTTCTGCCAACCCTACTTAAGGCATCCTGCAAACTCACAGCATGGAACCTACACTTGGCTTCCTCCTGACACCCATGTCCACTGGGTGAGTGCCATCTGCAACAGTCTCTTACAGATAATCCAAGGATTGTATGCTCGAACCTTTTAGACTGCTCCTACAGTCTAAGAATACATGTGACTCATTAGGGAAGTGTGTTAGCAAAACCATATTCCAGCAGCATGGAGAGCCCCAGGCATTGCTGGCTGCAGGGCTGTTCTGTGGTCTTAACCATCTTGGTGTAACAAAACCTGCTATCAGCAGTTGCCACTTAGTGAAAGTTATCTTGTGCTCAGATATACCATTTCAGAGGTCTTCTCCGGAACTAGTGAGGAGCCAAAGCTCAAGAAATGAGGATAAACTGCTCACAAACTACCAAATTATTAATAACCAAATGTTTGTATGTACAGGCAAAATAATGAGCTAGCTGACTTTGTTTTCCAGATTTCCTATTGAAGTTATTACTTTAGAAGTACTTCACCTGAAATCATGTTTGAAGGTAGAAGGAAAGATGTTGATTATATTCCTTGAAAATGCAACTAATATACTGTATAAAATTATGCCTTTCATGTTGCATAAGAGGACACAGTCCTCTTAACAGAAGGAAAAATGTCCTGCCTGTCTTCCCAATACCTAGTGCTGGGACTTAGAGTTAGTAGTGGATATAAGGCATTTGCTGTACT